GGGGAGGGGAGGGTTGGGGGTGCCGGCGCCGGCCGTGGTTTATTTAAAACAAGCCATAAACGCAGCTTTAGGTCCTTGAAGCGCCTTGGATGGTCCCCCTCTCCATTTTCTTTGTCCTCCCTGTTGCAGCCCCTGGGTAAAAGGGAAACCCGAGCTGGGAGCCTGATTGTAGCGACAGGGCCGACAGCTTCGAGATAAAGTGTCTGGTCTTTCACCTGTAAGTGCGTTTCTTGAAGTACCCGCAGATCAGACTTTAGGACGAAAAGTGGTCTTCAAGTTGACGCTCCCCCCCCACCCTTACATTTTCACACTTTGCGGAACAGGGCACTTTTTTTTTTTAATGAAGATTGAACTGATAAACTGAGAAGGCGAGAGGCATTTTTCTATTCAGGGAAAAAAATGTAATTTTTTTTTGTACTTGAGGGTAATGTAAGTGAGGTGTTGAGGAACTGGAACGACTGGATTGAAATGTTTTGTAATACGTGGCCTAGCTTTTATAGGATGTGCTGAAATCCATACTCAGCGTCTTTCTCATTCCTCTGCTTTAAATAAGAAAAAAATGTTCCTCTAATTACACACAAGCCTGTTGGTAACTTCACGTTAATTGTTAAGGAGGTTGAATGGCCAAGCCAGCGCTGATTGTCCAGAAGAAGGTTCAAGAACAACCCTGAAGGCTCCAACATGTCAAAAGAAATGCAAGAGCTGCAGAAGCAGTGGCGCTTCATGATGAAATCCATCCACAGCAACTCCAATGTGCGTTTCAGAGTCGATTATTATTTGATAGAGTGTGTTTACATAATGCTTCTCCAGCTGTCTTTGCTTGGATGTCACACCTCATTTTATGATAAGGATGTAATTACAAAAATCAAATTTGAATTTGTCATCATGAGAAAATTAGATCCCCTCTTTTTTTTTAAAGAGGGCACAGTGAAGGAACAAGCCACCATAATGTATTTTTAATATAAAAGCATTTCTATGGGATTAATTAAAGTAGGTAGCATCTGAATGGCTCACAACAGGCAGTAAACATTTATCCCCATTTTACATACAAGGACACTTGAAGCATAAATTTGGAATTCAGATATAGTAGTATTGTATCTCTTTAACTATATAAATATAATTAAGATAAGTATAATTAGAGCAGTACAACTTTGTAGTGTAGATCCATCTGTGGAGTCCTTAAGGTTCAAGGGAGGGCAATTTATGGATCTGCTACTACCTTGTAGTCCCTGAAAACAAACTGGTTTTGCACCTGTTGTAGTGTGACCTAAGTATCTGGCCTGTTAAATGACTTTCAACACTGAAACGAATGTAAATCACTGGATTAAAAATTACAGCTGGTAAAAAACCCATACACTATAAACTTGCAGTAAAACACTTAACTGTTAGTTTTTTACTGTTATTTATAGCATGGTTCATCTGTATCACATATATTTAACAGAATATCTTTTGTAAATTATCTTATGCTATTAGTGAGGAGTCTCGCTTCCATATTGATTTTTCCCCCTTTGTTTTCAAGCACTTATGTTCTAGCTTCTATATTTTGGTGTACTAAAATACATTTGATTTAGCAAAATAAATTATGTATCTCCACATCTACTTTGACATGTGCTGCAAAACTGTTTCCTTGATGTGCCGCTCATAATAGAATTTGTAAGGCATTCATATACAAGGATGGTGAGTACAGTGCAAATATGTACCGAGACAGAGGGTGCTCCATGCTTCTGACATTGAGCAGCCATTGCCTCTAACATGAACTAATCACTCTGTGTACTTACAGAATTATTGTACCCAAAATTTCATTAAAATAGTTTAAGATCATAAAAGATTTATGAAGCAAACACCTAATCTAATTCCACTTTTCTTCTTTCAATCTCCTACAGGTTGTTGCTTTTATGAATTCTCGAATTGGCCAATACTTAGATGATCATCCTTTTGTTGCCTTGTCGCTGTTGGTGTTTATTGCAGTTTCTGCTATTCCTGTTGCATTCTTTCTGATGTTTGTGGTTACAACAGCTGTCATGGCCTGTATTGGGGTTATAATCATGGAAGGTATTTTATTTATTTTCTTTCCTCTTTTAAGCCTTTTCTTATTTTCAGGATTTTCCTTTCTCTCTCCTTTCTCATGTACAGCTCTTGATCCAACCAAATTAAAAAGATTTTTTCTGAAGTTCTCAGCTTTCAGCATCAACAAAAGTCTTAATGCTGGAATAATAATCCAATTAAAAAAGGAAATAGGATTTGCCTGTCTTGGGTACAGTTAATCCCAATGTGGATGCTGTTAAACCACTTATCTTTGCCTTGGATAGCTTTCATCTCTGGCCTGCAAGGAGATTTATGAAGAGCATATTGCATGGGATTTTTCCTTTTAGATGATAACAGATAGCATGTACTGAAACTTCTCTTCTGAAGAATACCTCCACATACCCTGTCTTCCACTAGCTACATGGGCCTAATCATTTACTTCACCCCAATCCAAGGAAAGGTCACTGTGGGCCAGAGAATCCACCTGGGAGAACAAATAAGAGGCCAGCATCTGGTGTAAGAGGAATGCGCATGGCTGTAATGGCTGCATTACCTTTCCATGGTAGAGAAGGACAGCCAGGGAGGTCCAGGCCAATGCAGTTTTAGAGGATTCAGGTCTAAGTCCCAGAGATGCTAAGCCCCTGTGCTGAATCTCTTAGCCTCCTTTGATCCCTGGAGACCTGAACAAAGCCTGCTAAAAATAAACATCACTCCCCAAAACTGATCAGAGAAAAACTCTGTAGAGAGACTGCCACTCCTTAAAGAATGTCATACAACTGGGGATCTTGGGTCTTTGACCTGCATTGTGAACAGAACTAATGTGCACTACTAAACTACTGCTGGCCTGAATTTAGGATTGCAGTAGACCTGCAGCTAATACTTACTTCATTTTCAGTATGTACTTGATATACAATAGTATGTACAGTATTCATGCAAGTAACAAATTGGTTCTTCCTTGCTAGGTGTTGTAATATCAGCAGGTGGAATAGCACTTCTTTGTGTGCTGGGTGGCCTAGGGCTGCTTTCCTTGGCAGTTTCTGGAGTAATGAGTATTTGTTACGTAGCACTTACAACTCTGATCAACTACTGGTACACTCCAAAGTAAGTATCAACATTTCACTCTGTACAGTAATGTCACATTTTAACTGTAGTTTCACATACTACCTTGTATGTTAAAGCAGTGGGTAATTTGTTGCTTGGAGTAATAATAAACATCAGCTTTGAATACTATAGTATTTCTGGTTACCCTGATAAGAATTAATATTGGGAGCTTCAGACCTTGTTTTCTTTGTAAGGAAAAGGAGGAAGAAATAGTTATTAGGTGTGTCTTGTGTAAGTCTAGAAATAGACATCACCAGTGAAGTGGCTATGTCCCAGCACAGCTGATCTGCTTTACTGGGTGAAGCACACACCTCTTGATCTTGCCCTGCTTGTAAAGACATGCCCCCAGCAACCTCTGGGGTTACCAAAGATTGTCAGGGGTACGTTAAGCCAGGACACTCCAGTACAGTCCCAGGCCTGGGCTTCCAATCAGCTGATTCGCAGTCTCAGCCCCTGGGCCCCAGCAGAGCAAGTTCAATATTCTGGTGAAGTCCCAGGGATGGGATTGCCAATCAGCTAATTGGCAGCCCCAGCCCTGGGACTACATTGGTGTGTCCCAGCTTTCCCTGCATGCAGAAACATACCCCCAGCACTCTCTAGGCAAGTCTCTAGAAGCAGCAAAAGTTGAGTTTCCTGTTTCCAGAGCGTTGCCATGAAGATTGCCCAGGGCACGTATCTGAAAGTGGTTAAAATTGAGTAGGTGCTCCCTGGTCTTGAGGGACCTAATTCTGTGCAGGAATTGGCAGGGTATACAGGATCGGCCCTTCAAGCCCAGGAAGTGCCTGCCCAGGGCAATGGGAGAGCACAGGCAGCTCTGCGCTGTCTGCAGTCTCCCATCATAAAGCAAATAGATGTCTGCTGCAATAAATAGTACAATTTATTACTACCTTTATTGCCGCTACCTTCTGGCATGGTGGATGCCTGTTTGCTATCTCTTTGTGCCACTGTAAATATTTGTATGGCTGCACAAAGCAACATCTGTTTTTACCCTGATTAACTTTATGCTGCATTAGTAAATACAAACAGTTAAAATGCTTTACATGGTAATGGCCTAACAAAGTTCAGAGGTTGCTTTAGATTTTAGTGGTGTAAATGTGCTCAATTGAAATGAGTTAAACCACTTTGAAGAAACATGATTACAGGAATGTTCTCTTTTAAAAGAAAACAAACTTATCTACTAAAGCTTTTATTTCTTCCTCAGCTTTCTAGAAACTCAGGTACAATTTTAGTGATGGGTCAGGTTTCAGTCATTTGACATTAAATTTGCAAGTCCTACAGCATCCTTGGCATTTTTACTGTTACTAATTCCTTAAATTACTAAAGCTGAAGAAACTTGAATAACTAAAAGGCCTCTTACATATGTATGATTTTTCTTTACTTCCTACACTTATTACCTCAAAAAAAGAAAATAGAATAATTTTACTTCGTTTATAGCAAAATTTGCTTTATGATTCTCCCACATTAATACTGTTATGCAACATTTGTGTAGCAGTTACTGTAAGACAATAGCTATTTGAAAAACAAAACAAGAACATTTTAGGAGCATTATGGAGGCACTCACTAGTCTTAGGTTTTGTAAAATTTATCATTTATATTTATGTTGTAATTTATATCTTGGCCAAAGTTAGTCTGAGAGGATTCCTTCTAACCAACCAGTCATCTTTTCCCAGCATGCAACCTTGAGAGAGGAAATATTTGAGCCCAGCTACTCTACAAATGCAACTAAGTCAGGATTCATTTTATAGTGTCAGTCGGACCTTGACCACATTCTGTAATTAAGCCAAAGCCTTCAGAGTTCTGCAGAGTACAGTGAAGGTCCTGGCTATACAAAAACAGGAATCATGTTTTTAACTGAGTCTGGAACAAGTGCATTGTAAGTGGTGCAACAGACTGTATTACCTGTATATTTAAATGCGGGGAGTCATGTTTACATGTGACTTGTATCTTTGTGAAGATTGCAAATAGCCTGCTTTTATTACTACTCAAAAATAGCTCTATCCAGTAGCACTTTGGCTCCAGATCACCCTTTCCAGGGAGACATGATGAAGGGAGGAAACCTTTGAGATCCCTTCTCAGTATTTTCCTGAGCCTGTACCATCAGTACAGCAGTGCCTCTTCAGTGTCCCCCACCCATAGATCTTACGAGATTTGCAGAAACAAAAGGCTACTATGCCTCTTCCAGAAGATTTCTGAACGTTTAGCAATGTCTGCTCAAAAAGCGATAATATGTCTGTTAGTCTTCATGTTGCTCAGCTTAGTCTTGGTGAGAAAGCAAAACCTTTTGTGAAAGCAAAAGGCAATAAAAAAGCATTGTTCTATTCTACAGAAGTCAAGCAATGGATCAAGAAGCAAATGGGAATGGTTTCTCCCTGAACAGTTCTCCCATCTCTGACCCTTCTGTCAATAACAAAAGCAAATAAATGGGACCTTTCCATCTTCTCTGATATGCCTTGATTGTTCAGTTCTGAATTTAGACATCTTATTCATTTACCTGTTGAATAGTCAAGTTTTGTGTGAAGTTTGTGGAAATGGAATCAATATGCATCTTTGGTTGTTACTGTAAAATGGTGTAAAATGAACGGTAACTCATCAAGAGTCAGTGCGCTGTGATATTAAATGTACAGACCCTGGGAAGCAATCCCTGTTAATATGGTGCGGGATTATAACTAGTGCTAACTTCCACTAAAGTTGGTGGCAGACTGAGTCAGGAAGGACTGCGCACTTCAGATTTTAAACATTGGTGTCAGAATACTAACAACCAATAGATGGGGAATCAAAGTAGAATGTCTTTAATGCATCCTTGTGGCACCTGGATGTTTTTTACACATGGAAAATAACAATGCCCAGGAACAGTGACACTTATGAATGTTAAAAGTTAATTTCAAGCCTTAGCAATTTTTTTCAAAATACTTCTGTGTTGAAAAACTAAGCTTGCCTCACATTAATTGTGTGCATTGTTGGAAAAGCAAAGTAAGAGAGGGGTTTGCTATGTATAACTGATCATCTAAGCTTTTACATACACTTGAATGTTACATTATTCAGAAAGGTTATCTTCCTTGTTCTTTCCTTCCCACAGCATGTGGTATGGCCCTGGTGTTTTGCCTTGTATTTAAAAATGTCTATTTTATTTGAGTTTTTGTTCTCTGTTTATGCATCTTTGGTGTGAGCCTTATTACATTTTGTAGTTACTGTAAGCATTTTCTTTTAAGCAGTAACCAGGTATCTCTAAGATATTTAGTTTAATAAAGTGCTATTTATTTATGTGTTTTTGTTTTTGTCATTCAGTCCTCACTGAAATAAAAAGTTAAAAGAAAATTCCTTAACATTAAAATTTAACTCTGTGTTACTGTAATCTGGTAGATTATTTCTAAATAAATTTCACAGCCCCAAATTGTAGTTGGCTTGCCATTCCTGAGGGACACTCCACTCAACTTGTCTTCAAAGGAGAAGCATAATCCTTGATTCTCAGTCAGTATAATATGGCACAGTACTCCTGAGTTACAGTCAAAACCCTCCCTCATTAGGGAGGTGCCAATTTACCTCTGTCCCATGCAGTTTTTGAACTAGGCAGAAATCCTCTAGCCTAAACTAATAGGTTGGATTTAAAACATTAACACAGGCTCTTTAATTTAAATTAACATCATGTAACATCATGTAATAAATCTCTTCTTGCTTGTGCATGTCTCATTTCAGCACTTTATATATTTCAAAGACTACTTGATCCTTGATAGCTTCAGAATATTGCTTCAGTCTTTTTGCTTGATGATTGCATTATCAGATAATCCATTATATTTAATGAAACAACACTGGGACACAGTTTTCACTTCAATTTTTCTCTGTGCTAGAAAGCATGGGTGTTGGTACCTCTTGAGTAAGGGGGGGGCACATGCCCCCCCTCACACCAGTCATTGACTGGAGGCGGTCCGCAAGCAGCCAATCCCACTGGCTGGGGGGGGGAGGGGTGTCCTCTGCAACTCACCCGACTGACTGGGGGGAGGGAGTGTTCCCCACACGCGATCTCACTCACCATAAAAGCGGCCACACCACTTCCAGAACTCCCACAGCCACTTCTGAAAGCAGCACGACTGCTTTTAGTGGCGGCCCTGCTCCTTGGCTGGCGCTTGGAGGGGGGGCACTGGTGCTCCCGCTGGCCCCCCTACCCACCGCCTAAACAGGGAGTGCGGCCTAATGGGGTACACGGCGCTCTTGGGGTGCACATTCACCCCCTATGCATCACCTCTGCTAGAAAGTTTGTCATGTAAATTTGCAAGGATGAGGCCAACCTCAGCTGTGCACTCTAGTCCTAATTCAGTAAAGTGTTAGATATTTGCAGGATTGGCATCCATAAGGAGAAACTCCCCTTTCTAATATAATAAGCATATACCAAGTGGGATTTTACTGTACCACCAGTGCTTCATAATAAGATCATTTCAATATTGGTGCACTTTCTTTTAAGCCTCAAGTCTTTTTAGCTACAGAACTATCAAAACATGAGCAGGAAAAAAACAATCCTGCCACTATTTTAGTCTTTATTCTGGAAAAGACTATAGTGGGAATTAATTTACCTAAATTTAACAAACAAAACCTTTATAAACAAACTTTAACAAACAAAATCTTATACAAAGACTGGACAATTTCATCCCATAAAACAGAAGGGGTATTCTTTTATTTACATGCATAAACACTAGGGGTGTACCGATAGAGATTTTTTGGGCTGATACCAATGGCAGATTTTTAAGGAGGCATATCAGCTAATACCAATCTGATTTCTGATACACAGCCCAGCAGCTTGAAGAGCAATGTCCAGCTGGTAAGTCTATTGTGGTAGAAGGGGAGGGTGAAGGAAAGGCAGGGTGGCAGATCGAGGCCCCTGCAGTGAGGGAGGGAGTGGGGCCAGCACAGGGGCTAGGGCAGGTGCTACGCAGCTCGGGTGGGGCATGGGATGGAGCTGTGGCTCGTCCTGCTGTGTGCACCCTGGGAGGCAAGGGGGGGGTGCCCATGGGGCAGCTGCTGCTGTGGGCTGGGGCCGGGGCTGTTGGGCTGTTCCTGGCAGAGGCTGGGCTGGGCTGCACTCAGCACAGGTGGCAGAGCTGGGAGGCAAGATTGAGGGGGGCTACAGCAAATTTTGGGGTGGCTCTACCCTATGCCCCAGCCCCTCCCCCCCCAGCTGGGCAGCACTTGCCCCAGCCCCACTCCTTCCCTCCCTCATTGCGGGGCCTCAATCTGCCCCCCTACACACCTTCCCTTTCCCCACACCAGACTTACCAGCTGGACGCAGCTCTACAAGCTACTGGGCTGTGCCCCTGGCCCCGTGCATACTGCAACTGCATGCACGCGTGGGGTGTTTATTGGCCACATCAGGCAAAAAAGCTGATTTCCAATATAGTCAATTTTCTTTATCGGTGCTAATCCAATATCAGACCAATGTATTGGTGCATCTCTAGTAAACACTATGCAGCTTCAACTCTATTAGCTGCTGCTCCAATGTTAAGACTAGGACTTCAGCTGTCATAAATCATTGCAGTTATGACAGTTTATATTACTTGATGATCTTAGGAAAATGTAACATTCCTGCAGACTGTTGCACTTTTATTATGACTTAGTGCTAACTAGCAATAAGAATTTACATCACAGCTGTACTCAGTGCAACCTAGCAGCAAGTTTTTATTATGTACATGTCTGCCATCTGCCTGACTAGCTTTACATGCCAGCTTTCAAAAGAAAAGTGTGTTTGAAGTGAATCTTTCAACAGAAGCTGCTGTATCTACATTTGTGCCAGCTTTCAATTCTTGCAATGAGATGATAAAAGCAAACATTTTTCCTTTGTGAGTGGAGAAACAGTGGATCTCAGTAAGGACACAGCATTGTAATGAAAATATTGATAAGCGGTAATTGGATTGCACTGGTGACAAGAAACTAACTGGAATTACAGCAACTTGGTAGATTTTTAAGTGTGGTCTGTTCTCTTGGTAGACTTTTTCTTGCGTGCTGATACTGTGGCAGAATCTTGTGTATAACAAGGGCAAACCTATCTCAAAGGAGAGAGAGCAAAAGAGCAGGTAGTATCTGCTTTAAAGCCACTTTTCCCCTAAATTAAAGTATTCCTGAGGCAAGTTAACATTTGAAATGCCAACAGGTCAGCACTAATGCTTTTCCTGTCACAGACCCAACTTTATTTTCCTGTGTAAATACCATCATGCTCCAGAACTGCAGTGACCCAAGAGAGGATGCTGCCTACACATTTTAAGGCAGCTCCACAGAACAGAGGAACCTACGAGGCCTGACATGTAGAAGAACAGGATGTTTGGCTAGTAAATGGACTGTATTCTTCCAAGTGCCAAAAAACTGACCATTTTAGGAACTGTGACATTAGGGTAGTGGTAGCGGTAGTGGTAATGGTAGAAATGTTGTGGTTATCTAGAAACAGATCTTGAATTCTCATTATTCTGATCATCATCTTGTCTTTCTTCCCATAACTGCTCAGTAGCCACCATTGTTAGAGCCATTATCCCTACTATATAATTTCATCTTTCAAATTATCAAGTAGTAATACCTTGAAATCTAGGAGAACTGGGTGCTAAGAACCATCCTGCTGTTGAAGCAGTGAGAGCAGCAAGATCACACTCTGAATGACCCAGTTTTAAACATGGGTCATTTCCTCCCTATTTAACCTTTTCAACGTGTGTGTGTTTAGTACAGGTTCATTTCAAACTTCAGTAGTTTCATACAAACACTAAAAAAAAAAATCCCCAGACTGACTCCCATCCTCTCTGAGCAGTGCCTGCCTGACTTGCCTTAAGCGGGTCTTGGTTATCACATTCCAGAGATGCTCCAACATGTCCTTTGCTTCACTGGACAGGACATTGGATGGGAGAGAGGACTGAGGGGACAGAGAATGATGCACTGCAACTTGGCAGACTTAGGCAGAGAAATCCTACAATTCCCTCTCTCTTTACTTTCCATTTCTGGTCAGCCTGTTGTTTCCGCGTCAAAAAACTAAAGGAAATGAATCCAAACCCTGCTACATACAGCTGAAGTTTCATTAATTGTTAGCTTTTTAATTATTTTTTTAGGCTGGCAATGCCATTAAACTATTCATATTGACATCTTCCTTGAAGGCAAAAGCTGCACTGTCCATTGAAAACCTCCCATTTATATGAAGTTTGGTTTATTTATCTCCTTGCCCCAGTTCCCTTCCTTCGAGCACGAGTTCCTTGCAGTGATTGGATCCCTTGATGGACTGAGCTTTCCACACTAAAGAAATGAAACTCTGCTTCTCTGCTCTCCCTGCTAGTGTGTTAAGAGGCATTCTGCTGACAGCCTAATGAAAGGCACTTTGCCTCATTACATTCGGGTGACAGTTTCGCTTGGCGGTGGTGCGGGGAGTCAGAGCTTTACAGCTGCTCTTTAGCCTACACAGCCACCTCTGCTGATTCTCAGAGCAGCAGATTTCAGCAGTTCCACAGGATCTCCCAGGAATCAGCCACCTTTCTTCTTCCATAAGAAACATCAGCACTATGACATCCTCAAACCACTGACTGGGTCCAACTGCTGCTGAGGGATGGATTTTAAAACAAATCATTCGGAGAGCTTGAATGACTGCCCCCCTAACATCTCCAAAGGTGTGCAAAACTTTTCCTTGGCTGGTGAGTACAATGAGTAAGTGAAAATATATAGTGGTGAGTGCTGAAATGGCTTTGTATCCGGGGAGTGGGAACAGCTAATCACTTTTCTGAAAGCTAAGTGATAGGATTAGGGATAGTATGAATATACTGCACAATTAAGCAGCATGCGTATTATATGGATAGAAACATGAATGTATGGATACACATGTATGCACATAAAATGAATATGGGGTGTATACATACACAATGGATGTGTATGTGTTTGTATGTGTTTATGTGTAATCCCTGCATATATACACATTCCCGTAACTATATACTGACAGACCAAATGCAAATACTGACTACATGTGCTGCACCTATAAGCTCTGTTTACATATAGAGTGTGTAGATATGACTGGTCTTCACATGTGTGAATAAAAGCAGATTTATAAGTATATATAAAATACATACACCATTATATGCTGAGATGGAAATCCGTCCTTTTTATATTGTTTCTATTACCTTATCTGTTGTGCTCCTACCATCTGTTGGACTCTGCCTATGCTCTGTCTCTGCAGGTGAGCCAAGTAGGGTGAGCTATGCCAGCTTCATCATGCCTACCCTGTTTGGTATCATCTGCCTCCTGGGTATCTTTGGCAACAGCCTGGTGATCTGCAGAGTCTTTAAGAAATCCAGCCCCAATAGCAGCGTCCCAGATATCTTCATCATCAGCCTCTCCATGGTGGACCTGCTCTTCCTCTTGGGCATGCCCTTCCTCATCCACCAGCTGCTGGGCAATGGAGCCTGGCACTTTGGGGAGACTATGTGCACCATCATCACTGCCCTGGATGCCAACAGCCAGTTCACCAGCACCTACATCCTCACTGCCATGTCCATTGACCGCTATCTGGCCACTGTGTATCCCTTCACCTCCACTCACTTCAGGAAGCCCCCTGTGGCCATCCTTGTCATCTGTGGACTCTGGGCCCTCTCCTTCCTCAGCATCACTCCGGTATGGATGTATGCCCAACTCATCCCTCTGCCTGGAGGGCTGCGTGGCTGTGGGATTCAGCTGCCAGACCCACAGAGGGACATCTACTGGTACACCCTCTACCAATTCTTCCTGGTCTTTGCCATTCCTTTTGCCCTCATCACTGTGGCATACAGAAGGATCCTGCTTAGGATGGCCAGGTCCTCAGAGGCACTCACTGGCCAAAGAGGTGCCAGGACCCGCACCAAGAAAGTGACCCGCATAGCTATTGCCATCTGCCTGGCCTTCTTCATCTGCTGGGCACCTTTTCATGTTCTGCAGCTGGTACAGCTAGCCATGAGACACCCTACCCTGCCCTTCTACTATGCATACAATGTGGCCATCAGCCTGGGTTATGCCAACAGCTGCCTGAACCCCTTCATCTACATCCTTCTGGGCCAGAACTTCCGCAGGAAGTTGGTTGTCTCCGTCCGGCCTGCAGCTGCAGGAGAAGAGGCTTCCCCAAATGAAGACAAGAATGCACGAGGGGACCCTAGCGAGTCAGGGCAGCCACTGTTGCACCTGGTCTCTGTCTCCAGCAGGTAGAGAGACCTGAAGGGAATGGGAGAGCCTCACACAGCCTTGGCCAGAGCTGCTGCACCTGTGCCAGTTATAAACATTCCCTTCCTTCCCTCACTGGACATGCATGCACATAGGTGGATCCAAAATTTTATAAAAGAGGATGCAGGAGCAGCCACTGGTATGGCATGGGTGGCTGTACCCCCACTCCTAGCTCCCCCACCCAGGATGGGCAGACCACACTGCAGGAGCAGCAGCTGGAGTCTTTAAGTCCCCAAATCAGGTAAGAATCGGAGTCACTCTCCACATGAGGATCCCCTCCCTTCCTCTCCATGATCAGCAACACAGCTTCTCCTCCCCATTTGCTCCCCCGCCACCACCTGCCACTGACACTGTCCCCAGCTGCCCTGGGAGAGCTCCAGAGCTGCTTCTGCCCTACTCCAGCAGGGCTGCATGGGGAGTCAGGCTCAGCTGGAGACAGTGGCAGCTGCAGCAGCAGCAGGCAAGTTACCCCTCCCTGAGCCTGCTTCTGGGCTGGCAGTGAACACAACGGGGAGAAATTAGGCAGGGAGGAAGAACCTGCTTGCCACTGATGTTGTCCCTTGCTGAGCCCAGCTCCCCATGCAGCTTGACTGGAGCAGGACAGGAGCAGCTCTGGAGCTCCCCCAATTCCAGAGCAGCTGGGAACAGAGGCAGCAGCTGGAAGGGGAGGGGGCAAATGGAAGGAGAAGGGAGGGAATGTGCCACTGAACACAGATGGGGGAAAGCAAAGGAATTATCTGCTTCAGGGGCTTTAAAAAAGATCCCAGCTGCTCCCACAGCACGGTCTGAAAGGGGAGTGCAACTACACTCACCCTGGAAACACCCCTGCACGCACACTCTTAACTTCTATGGACTGACCCTCCTGAGCTGATCTTGGCTTCTCTGAGCAGCATAGAGATTTCTATAGGGTCAGCAGTTGGGCTGGGGTTCTAGCTGTCACTGATCCAATTTACACACTCACTTTCAGCTTTCCCCAGCTAGAAGTGAATTATTTCTCCAGCCTTCCCCCCAGCATATGACAGCCGGTTCACAGTATCCTCACAAAAAGTCCCAGGCACTAATTAGTTCAATCTTGTCATTAAACACCATACAAGCGATGTGCCAGGATGCAGAGGCACTACCATAATATTAAATTTGAAGTGAGTTTCAATATAGTTTCTTGCTTTAAGCACATTAAGAAAAAAGACTGAAGATCATCTCTGATCTTTTTCCCTCTGGGTGCAGCCCAGGGCGCAGCAGCTGAGAATATCATTGTTGCATTGTTTAGAAAAGGTATAGTGCAACAACAGTACTCTCAGCTGCTCTAAACAATGAAACAACAGGCTTGTCAGCCGCTCTACTGATATTAATCCATCTACATGTGATCATCATTAACAGTGGCTTATCATTTGCTGTCATTTTATAATCATGAGAGTTGGCTTGTTTCTAGCACAATCAACTGCTGAAGCACCTGGAGAATAACTTCAAATGCATTTCAAATGAAAAACAACCAAAAAGCCTCTTCACAGTTCCTCCGAGAAGCATTTCTGAACTGTATTTTTGCAGAACTACAGCAACACGAGTTGCAATGAGACATTGTCTCAAAATAATAATTGGATGCTATTTGCATCATTAAAAAGCACTGGCAGTATATCTTATCCACGTTCCCATCACCAAGGCACTTTCCCAAAGGACTGAAGCAATTCTTTAACAAAGGTAGATCTCCAAAGCACTACGGCACATATTTTCAAGGGTCATTTTGTGCAACTCAGATTTTTGATGCCCAACTAGAGATACTTTAAAGGTAGCCAATTTTCAAGGACTGAGTACCAAACCTCTGAAAACTGAGCCTCTTTAAAGTATCTCCATTTGGGCACCCAAAAATCACCAGGCATTTACTTTAAAATGCCAGCTATTATTCTTATGAATAAAGTAGCAAGTGCCTAGAGCCTTAAAGAAAGTAGAGAATGGAAAAGGAAAGAAAATTAAAGTTTCTATAGCACTCATCTTTCCTACCATTTATCAAAATTTATATTCAAAATCTAGGCTTTTTTGGTATTTTTAAGGAGTCTTCTTTTTAATAGTGGGTCAATTACATCAGTGTAAGGTAAGACTCATAAAAACAAAATCAAATTTCTTTATCAAGTTTTATGTAACTAGAATTGTAAAACATCCAGAACCATTTTCCAAAGCATTTTCTTGTAGAAGTTACTAATGATGATATGATCCCTGACTTACTCTATTCAGGTTCCTAAATGGAGCTCATTACTGTAGTTTTCAAATCTGTATCAAGAGACAGAAGAAATGCATTGCTGATTATTTTATATGCACTGTCTTAATCTAAATTGCGATTCGCCCCCCAGGAGCTATTCAGTTAGTTTAGACAATTTAATGGCATGCTCAGTCAACATACAACCGTTCAAAAGAGCCACAGCACCAGGAATTTCCCCAGGCTGGATCATCTCCAGGAGACTCCACAGAAACAATAACAAAGCCCCAGGCCCTAATATTCTCTTTTCATTAGTCTCCATGAGCTGACAGAGACGTCATGTCTCAACCCTTTCCTCCTGCATGGGGGTCCCTATACAGAGGACCTCAAAGCAGCCAGTCACACACTTCTGCATGGGACGGCTGAGATCTGGGTGCACCAGGTAACTTCCAAGTCCATTTTAAAGTCAGCGGAACGATTCTGATTGTTCCCACTAGGGTTTGGCTCAAGATTCACATGCAGTTACAGGACTGACCTGACCTTAGGCAGCAGCAAAACTAGAGTTGGGATGCTGAGGTCCCAGCCCTGGACACTGACCTAAAGGGGGCACAAGAACGGCAGCCACAATCACTACCAGCCTAGCCACTACTGCCACCATGAAAACAAAACCTCTCAACCTCACAACCCCCATTTCATGTGCTGGAGGACACTATTAGAAATAAGAACATGCTGAGTAACCTTTTCGTTTCATAAGACATTTTGATCCTCGGCTAATGAACCGGCATAGCTTTACAGAAACTAGCATCCACGGGAGGTGATGAAGCTACACTGATTTTTTTGAGAGGCGGGCTGTCTGCAAATGAGGTATTTCCTTGGGCATTTTTAATTGACTTTTCCCATAGTGAATACTTAACCTGAGTCACGGTAAGTTTTACCTTCAATTGCCAGTGCTAATATGGCGTGAATTAATTTAATTCTAACATTCTCGCTATCTGGCCTCTGCAAATTTACTTGGATGACGAGCATTTTAAAGCTCCTCGCTACGTTCTTTTACTAAATGTCATTTTCCACAGTGTATCTCAACTCACATGAACATTGTCCCTTCTCTGGGATGAGATCTGAGCCAATGCAGACCAGATGTGCCTTGGTTATTACTAGGCACTGCATAAAATTTTACTTCAGTTTTATTCTTCTTTATTGAATTTCGCCTTACAGCAAAGACCTTTTGGCTGCTCGCAGATGTTAAAAAAACCCTGTGCTTTACCAGAAGAAGCAACGCATTACTTCAACCCAGCTCAGCAGCGTCTGTGTAGACTAGGCACTTCAATGGGGCTTTTTTGGCACTTTTATCTAATAGCGGAGTCAATCAGCTGTTAGATAAAAGTGCCAAAAAAGACCCACTAAAGCACCTGATCTATGCAGATGTGGGGCGAGCCAGGTCCAACTAACATGCTGCTTCTTCTGGGCATGTGCTGGGCTTGGTGTGGGAGCGTGCGGAGTTTGAAGTAAAACATGTTTTTTGCTTTGGTTTTTTTGTTTTTTTTAACATGTGCAAGCAGCCTTTGTTACCAAAACATAAGGTTGTTTGCGCACTGAGCTATCTGTCAGGCTGAATGATCACAGTATTCTCTCATGGCCTTAACATTTATGAAAACAAACACATTGACATATTAAATCCTCTGACACCAGAAATGACAGGAGTCAAGAGACACTGAATAACCTCAGCCTTTTCAGAGAGGGACTTGGGAGACTGTGTAAGAGGAAACAGCATAACCCCCAGTCCTGAAAGACACGAGGGTTCTAGGTGAGGCCAAAAGCTGGCACCACAACCGCATCGCTCTCGACTGATATTTCTGCCTTACAGTCAGCAGGATCAGACATCCGTGGAGCAGGAGTTACAGATCCATAGAGCAAGACTGGCTCCCACTGGACACTGATGTGGCACGTCTCTGAAACAAGGATCTGATGGAAAATTCTTCTAGTCCAGGAGTTGGCAATGTTTTGGGGCAGAGTGCCCAAAACACCCCAATCTCAACTTGTAAGATGTTGGTGTGCCAGGGGCGGACGGCAGGGGAGCCACAAGGGGCCCCATCCTTGTTGTGGCAGCACAGCCCCAGCCCATTCCCCACAGTCCACTCCAGGCCCACGTGCACCCACCGCCAGCTACATGCTGGGCTGAGGCTCCGCAGACCCCAGTGCAGCAGCTTGCGGCCTCCTTGCTGCCTCATGCGAGCAGCCTCGGCTCAGGGGTGGGCAGCAGGGGCCTGCCCAAAGCCCAGGTCGGCTGTGGCAGGCTGCCAGAACTCTGCAAGCAGCTACATCGGGGTCTGCAGAGCCCCAGCCCGGGTCATGGCTGGCAGCGGATGCATGCATGCTGTTGCGGTAAAACTTACTGCCCCAAAAACAATGGAGTGGACCAGGAAGGTTATATATGGATTGCATCATGACAGACCTATCCAATTAAAAGATCAAGCAAAGTTTTATTAGCTACACATACTGAAGCAGCAATCCCGCATGCATTCAAGTGAATCTCACCACGCTGCAACAGTCTTGGGTGAATATAACAAGAGTCCTCGATCAGCCAGCCATGCTGGGGCAAGGATCTCGGCTCACCTTGTCTGCGCTGGTCATCTGATGTTCTTGAGATGCAGTCCAAGTGGAGAACGCTTGATGGTTCTTCATTGTCTTTCCTTATTCTCTGGTGTGGCATCACTGTTGCTAGGTGGTTGCCGCCCTGTTATCGTTCTAAGCAGTATTTACAGATTCTTCAACATTTTGTGTCAACTTAGACACCACA